TTTGTTATGAAAGAGGGGGAGGGGGGGGGGGGGGGGGGGGGAATGGGACAGACGATGAGGGAAGGCAAGATAGAAGCAGCCCAAACGTCAGCTTTAATGACTAAACAAACTGCAATGCATCAATCCCTGCACGTGCATGCGTCCTCACATCTGCACGCAGACTGGGATTTTTGACAGTTGAGCGACTTTGCCTCACGGGCTTATGCTCTAACATGAGCTGCAGAATAAACCTGTTAATTACAAGGATGGGCCAATAATCAGGCTGTAGGGGCAGGTCCAAGTGTGACTTCAGGAACTAAAGTCACTATTTGCATACATGAGCTCTTTGAATTTGAAGTGCACATAGAGTCATTCAATCTACAAATTAAAGAAGAATTTTATGTAAATCCATAGAAAAAAATCATGGAATTTTCCTTTATACTGAACAACACGGTCTATCTATCTATCTATCTATCTATCTATCTATCTATCTATCTATCTATCTATCTATCTATCTATCTATCTATCTATCTATCTCCCCCCCCCCTTTCTCTCTACTATATATGCTATCTCTCTCTCCCCATCGCTCTCTCTCTCGCTCTCTCTCTCCCGATCTCTCTCTCCCGATCTCTCTCTCCCGATCTCTCCCCCCCCCCCTATATCTCTCTTCCCTCTTAAACATCTGCTGGTGATATTCATGTCACAGCACATCATTCTGCACTCCAGACAGAAAATTCTGCAGCAGCCTCCATGCGGTTAGTGAAATAAGCCCCTGGAGGGAAGTAAACTTGCTCTCGCTGGAACGCATCTTGAAGCAGCCAGCAAAGTTGGGAGCTCGGAATCCTCCACACTCACCTTCTGCTTGCTCCAGCCAAGATCTATTTTTGTAAGAGGCGGCCTGTCCGCATGGAGCAAACACAAGGCAGCATGAAATATTCAGGCGGCAGAGCAAACTATGAATTAGAAATTAGCCGGGCTTATGCAAGGAGTGGAGGAAAGAGAACATCCCTGGTCCATTTACGCTCCTGAGCTTCTCCTGCTATCCTTTTTAAGCACATCGGATGTGATGGAATGTTATGGAATGGCAATGCTTATCCTGCACAGCACCTGACGTAAGAGTTTTGGGTCACTAGATATGAGGATGTTGCTGAACAATCATTAATTTTAAGCTTTTTTGGACAATGTGTTTCAGCTTGTGTTGTAAATCCCATTAGGGTGTGATGGTACTAGGGTTGCCACCTGTCCCCGATTCACCGGAACAGTCTGGGTTTTGAGTCCTGTATGTGCTGTGTCTGTGTTTCAGCTGGTCTGAAACTTGGAAACAACACATACAGGACTCAAAACCCAGACTGTCCAGGTGAATCTGGCACAGGTGGCAACCCTAGATGGTACCAGTAGACAGGGACCGGATTTCCCACAAGGCCAACCCGAGACCCGGCCTTGGGGCAGCAGAGAGTAGAAAGGCAGCAGGGGTTTGGAATTCCTATCTCCCGACGCCCGGGACATGCAGTTCCAAGGCCAGGCGGGTAGTTGTTTTCTACATTTAGCCCTGCTTTGGGCAAGCAGAGATAAATGTACAGCGGGGAAGCCGCCGCTTGTTTTATACAAGTGATCTCGGCGATGTCGCCAAAATCACATGAATGCATCCTGCATGCAGGGGTGCGCATACAGGAACCTGGCATTGGGGAAGCAGAGAGAGTAAATCCGTCCATGCCAGTAGATCGTCCGTAGACGGAGGGTTGTTGGCTAGCAAAGCCCACTGGGGTATGTGGTGCCTCCTTATGTCAAGGATTTGTAGTGCCTTACAGAAGAACATTGGTTGTTGAGTACTTCAAGCACTCAAAACCTAAAAGGCCCAACTCAAAGGCTCAATCCACACAAAATTGTGGTTGGGTCTAATGCTGGGGACTCTAAGATCTTGAGTCCCCAATATCTTAGGGTTGTAAGGATTGTAAATCCCAGTACGGTGTACTGGTACCAGTAGATCCTCCATAGATGGAGGGATGTTGGCTGGCAAGGCCTACTGGGGCATGTGGTGCCTCCTTGTGTCAAGGATTTGTAGTGCCTTAAAATGGACGTTGGTTGTAGAGTACCTTCAAGCACTCAAAACCTAAAAGGTCCAAGGTAAAGGCTCAATCCACACAACTTTGTGCTTGGGTCTAATGTTGGGGACTCTAAGATCTTGAGTACCCAATATCTTAGGGTTTAAGGGTTGTAAATCCCAGTAGGGTGTGATGGTACCAGAAGATCCTCCATAAATGGAGGGATGTTGGCTGGCAAGGTCCACTGGAGCGGGTGGTACCTTCTTGTGTCAAAGATTTGTAGTGCTTTACAACACTCAAAACCTAAAAACCCAACTCAAAGGCTCAATACACACAACATTGTAGTTGGGACTAATGTTGGGGACTCTGAGATCTCAAGGCTCCATCAGGAAGTTCACATCACCATTCGTCCCTTGCTAACACTGAGTCTCACTCTTCTTCTGGGAACTCAAAACTGGAGACCCTAAAACATACCTGGTGATTCAGCGTTCTTAAAGTGGAAGGAAGGAGCTGAATATGAATCCCCAAAATAATGAGGGGTCCTCAATGTAGCCACATGGCTAGTGTTCGGGCAACTCTCCACAAAGCATGGATTCAAGGTCACCCCAACTGAGAGATCTATGTGTATATAAACCAAAAGGAGCTCCAAGTAATGGTAGCCAGCGTTGTTCATCAGGGATTGAGTGCTTATGAAAAAAATCAAACAGGACTCCTGGGTGATTTCACCTATACCTGGAGACTGGTCAAAAAGATGGGTGCTTCCACCTGCAGCAGAGACCCTAGGAGCTATTGTTCGAGTCCTGCTTGATTTTTTTTGATAAGCCCTGATGAAGGGGGCCCCTGAAATGCGTTGACTCCCAGCATGTTTCAGTTGTCACTAGAGGAATTGAACAAATCAGACTCTTAGAATGTCTGTTTGGCATTCATTTTGGTTTATATACACATGTTGACTGAAATGTTAGTTTATGGTGAACAGACCTTTTAAAGGTAGGTTACCCGGTATTATCAGTGAATGTTATCATTGTAATCTATACAAAGAATCTTTTCCACAATGTGACATTAATACTTGTTTCCTGTTCCTTTGTTTGATTAACTTATTTGCAGACCCTCCCACAAGTATCGACCTTTCTATATCAGCACAGAAACTGCTGCTGAGATAAAGGCAGTTAACGGGAAAAGCCATTAAGGGATTGTATTGCTTTTAATGCATAATTATGGGTCTGGGATGACTCATAGACTTGCACTGAGATGAGCCGAAAAGAAAAATCACTGTGCTGCGCTACTCAGCAGGAAGCACAGCATGCGTAGGCAATGAGGAAACATTCCTGGCCTATAGGTATGCCAAGAAACAAGGATTCAAAACAATAGCATTGTTCACAGTGATCTGATCATAGATATGTCTACGAATGTTACAAAAGGGCTTTAAATTCCAGCAAACTCAATCTTACATTAGCAAGCCATCCCTGTCGTCCAACACAAACACAAAACAATCACAACCGCACAACTGGGACCCACCTGTTCAGGTCCTTGGAAGCAAATCCTGCATAGAGGTGTCCTCATACCACTGTCCAGGCTCCCCAATGAGTACCTGTCCTCATTTTTTCCTTTGTAGAACTCGTCCGAGGAAGTACTACTGACCACCGACGTGGGCTGGTGCTGGAGTCCCGGGGCCGTGGCAGGGTAGCACCAATCCTCCTCCGAAGTCGCCCCGCTTCCCGGAACCCTCCAAGCTCGCCCTAGGGCCGTCAACGTGTTATTGTTGGCTGCCAAAGCACCTCCAGCACCCAGATCGCATTCTGTGCTGTTCATGGGCAAACTGGGCGTCTGCGGTGGGCGCCGGAGCAGGAGGACCTTCAAGTCATTGAAAAGCATGCGGCATCGGCACTTGAGGAGACCCTGGTGGCGCGACATCTGTCTTGGACTCAGTAATCCACAGCACCATAAAAGCAGGACTGTTCTCAAGAACATGTGAGGGCCTTTCACTCCAAAAAGATAAGGGGGGTAAAAAGTGCCACGGGGGCCCCGGTCAGCACCCACGATTGTGCGTTATATTAACCCCTTGTGCTCTCCTTAGGCCGTGACCCTTTCTCCCCCCCCCCCCCCCCCCCCCCCCCAAAAAAAAGAGCACGCCGAGATCCCCTTTTCCCCCCCCCCCCCCCCGACCTAAAAAAGAAGTCCGGCCTAACGCTTTGATCAATGAAAAAGGGAATTAATCTGCTTAACAAAGAGGGATTAAGTGTATAAAACCGAATACTAGATGCCCGGGCAGCTGCAAAAGGCTGTCTGCCTGGCTCCTCCCCCTTTAACTCCTATCGAAGCGCAATAAAAAGTGCGCCCGGAGATGAAAAACGTCTTATCAAAAGCAAATTACCGCTTGGCTGTCACGTTATATTCGAACAGCGGTGTTATCATTTTAGTAATAATCAAAAATTCTTGTTACGGTCCCGGTGGACCAGCCTCAAAAAACGGGGGCGACCTTTGCATCTCGCGGATAAATACCTCAATAAATATACAAAAACTCAGGGGGTCAAGGGTGTGCCAAAAAAATGCCACCTCTCACATCTGCTCCATTCATAACAGCAAGAACGTCACCAGGAGCCCAACTGGCCAAAAATATTTTTGTCTTTCCCTAAAAAAAAAAGACGGTTCTTCCTTTCGTCCTCAGTCAACCTCGCTGCATAGCTTGCGCCTTCACCCCACCTCGCCGCCGAGCAGCCCGTTCCCCGCCAAATGCTCATGAGCCTTTCCTGTGCTGCTGCTTGTGCTCCTTCGCCTTGGCATGGCATGTAACCATCGCCTTACCGGTCTCCGAACGCAGGCGGCCCCCTTTCGCTCGCGCCAGCCAGACGCTCCGGCGTCCCCCAGTCCGGGTGAGCTCCTATCAGCACGCTGGTCCAGCTTGCGATGATGAAGGCGATGTGTATCCTGCTGTTGGCTGAGCTGCTGCTGTTGCTACCTCCCTGGGATGCAAGAGGAAGAATTCTTGTTGCAATGTAGACGGGCTCTGTGTCTACTCCTTAGGGACGGTCGGAGGGGAGCATACTCCTTCCTCTGCCCTGGGTCCCCCGGCAATGGTCTTGTCGGGTGCAGGGTGCCAGATATTGCAGCAAAGGTCTGCCGGAGAGGGGCATGGACTGGGCACAGTGCTGGCAGTTTAGGCTGCTGCTGCAGTTTCAGCACTCTGTGCTGTGGACAGCTCCCTCCCAGTCTGACACGTCACCCTGCTGGGGGGACTGACGCAGGCGGTTGGGGAGGAGGAGGAGGTGGTGGTAGAAAGGATGGGGGGGGGATGTTGGATTACTTTCCAGACAAGGGAAAGTCTTATTGACATGAAGATCCTCTTACTATCAGCTTTCCAAGCAGCTCAAGTCTGACTGCTGCAATGCATTATCCAGGCACAACATAGATAATGAACGGGGAGGCAAGCTGGGCTTTTGTCTCCTTTGCAAACAAAAGAGACAAAAAAAATGCACAGAGGCTTATTCACTCAAGCCGTTGCAAGAGGCAGGGGTGACGGGCGAAAAACGCCGGCGTGCCGCGGCCAAATCACAAATCAGATGAGTTGCTTCGGGTTACGGCAGCCTGCACTTCGTCGGGGTTCCTTGAATGGTTGGCTGGTGGTTTGGGGGTGGGGGGATGTTTTTTGAGGCTGGACAGATGGTTGTCTACAAATGACATTGCCATGAATGGAGAAGAGCGGCAAGCTGGCTGATTGAATTGCCGCTGTGGCGGTGTTTAGGGATTGCTCGGTAACTGCGGCTCTCCTATTAGGAAATGGAAATAACAGTCACATCGCTGCGAGGAGGACGACAAAGAAAACCTTTGCACTTTTGTATAACATTTTGCAATATAGCTGGTCAGGCAGTTACGCCGGCGCGTTGTAGTGCAGCGTAGATGTGCGTTGTAGTGCAGCGTACATGTGCGTTGTAGTGCACTGTAGATGTGCATTGTAGTGCACTGTAGAGGGGTATTGTATTGCACTGTAGAGGGGCATTGTAGTGCACTGTAGATGGGCATTGTAGTGCACTGTAGATGGGCATTGTAGTGCTCTGTAGATGGGGATTGTAGTGCTCTGTAGATGGGCATTGTAGTGCTCTGTAGATGGGGATTGTAGTGCTCTGTAGATGTGCATTGTAGTGCACTGTAGAGGGGTATTGTAGTGCACTGTAGAGGGCCATTGTAGTGCACTGTAGATCGGCATTGTAGTGCACTGTGGATGGGCATTGTAGTGCACTGTAGATGGGCATTATAGTGCACTGTAGATGGGCATTGTAGTGCACTGTAGATGGGCATTGTAGTGCACTGTAGATGGGGATTGTAGTGCACTGTAGATGTGCATAGTAGTCAGGGCTGGATTTACTCTCTCTGCTGCCCCAATGCCGGGTTCCGCAATGCGCCCCCCTGTGCAGGCTGCATACAAGTGATCTCAGCGACATCGCCAAGATCACTTGTACAAAACAAGTGACGGCTTCCCTGCTGTACATTTAGCCCTGCTTGCCCAAAACAGGGCTAAATGTAGAAAACAACTACCCGCCCAGCCCCCCCGGAACTGCATGTCCCGGGCGTCAGGAGACAGGTATTCCACACCCCTGCTGCCCCTCTACTCCCTGCTGCCCTGAAGCCGGGACTCGGTTGGCCTTGTGTGAAATCTAGGCCTGATAATAGTGCACCGTAGATGTACTCTAGGTGGCAGCAACTTTGTATTTCCATTCACCATATCGGACATCCACCTTAAAACATGCATTATGAAGCGAATGAGCTCTAAACTAGATGTAAACCATGGATGGAGGCGAATAGTGACAATAGTGGACCATGCCTGCGTGATATGTGCTGGAAAGAAGTTAAATGAAAGTGCCGGACCTGCAAGGTTCCTCCTATTGGTGTTAAAAGATGATGTGAAGAGTCAGTATAAGTGATCAGACTACCAGACAGGCCGCATCTACTTCCCAGAGGATCTCCATTGTCTGCTTGGCTTGTAGTGTCAGATTGCAGGATTGTGAATTGAAGTGGCACACTCAATCTTTATTCAATGCAGGGTTAATAGAAATAGCCAACACATTTCAGGGGTTCATACAAATACCCCCTTCATCAGGGCTTACTAAGGGGGAACATGTATCAGGCTTGAAATTGGATATTGTATTGCCCAGCTGTATGTTGTAGTGCACCGCAGAACGTTTTGTCCAATGTGTGAGAATGCGCAGAGCTCGTTAACAGCTGACCTGGCAGTGTAATGTGTGCTGGCACTTGTAGTGTGCATCGGAAGCCTGTGTAACAGTTGGCAATGCAGGAACATTGGCCATGGCATTGTCACCCTATAACAGGAAGTGCCTGAACAAGGACTTTCGTGGCAGGATCAACAGGGATTATTTTAATAAAATTTGCAGCTTTAAAAGTATTGAAACAGACTTTTAAAATCACATTGACATGTTAAAGGAGAAGTATGAGGTGAGTGCTTTTCACTCACCTCATAGTTCTAGCCGACCTGTGACAATGAGACTGTCACAGGTCGGCTCAGTAGATCGGGAGGTGAGCGAACACATACCGGCGTTCGCTCACCTCTCGATCCTGTCACAGCTCTCTGCCGTGACAAGGGAGGGGCTGGATTCCCCCCTCCCCGCTCCGCCAGCGCTGACTGGCGGAACGGACGGGGGAGGGGGCGGATACAGCTTGCTATGCCTCTAGATAGGCAGAGCCAGCTGTCACTCACGCAGCTGGGCGGATCTCGACATCGATGTCGGGATCTGCTCCGGCTGCGGCGTCTCAGTATATAGAGAGCTGTAGCTCGCGGTATACTGAGCTTAGGGTGACGGGAGGACGCTAGTTTGTGTCCTCCCGTTACCCTAAGGAGAACTATGGGGAAAAGCCTTAACCCCATAGTTCTCCTTTAAATCCTACATGAGATTGTACCGGTAGAAATGGGGTTTACATCTACTGCACAGAAAATTTGTACTAACAGAAATATAGATGCTGATGTTGCCACAGTGACCCCGAAATCATTAAAGTCATTAGATCAGTATGAGCGTCAGGCAAAAAGCATTTTCAGAAGAAGACATCAGCCTCCAGATTCTGTTAAAGTGCAAATACAACCCAAACTGTTTTAGTTATAGATAAGGGGGAAGGGTTAGAACCTCAGCTATCCCTTTAGTCTTGCACAGTTGTACAGACTCCTCACCTGTACTGAAATTGGTTATTCTGATTACTCCGCACACTGTGGAGGAAAGCAAAACATATGCTTTGCTCTGTTGGTGAGATCTCTGCACTGGCTTTGTACACCTGCTGTGCCCATTAGTGGCTCCCGCCATTCCTGTGCTGAGTTCCCCAGTCTGTATGCCTTCCGTGCCTATTATGAGGGGCTTCCTCCATCCCTGAGCTACGTTCCCGGGTCTGTACACCTGCTGTGCCCATGATGAAGGGCCCCCACCATCCCTGAGCTGAGTTCCCGGTTCTGTACACCTGCCGTGCCCATTATCAGGAGCTCCCACCATCCCTGAGCTGAGTTCCCAGGTCTTTTTCACCTGTTGTGCCCATTATGAGGAGCTCCCACCATCCCTGAGCTGAGTTCCCGGGTCTTTATACCTGCTGTGTCCATTATGAGGGGCTCCCACCATCCCTGAGCTCAGTTCCCAGGTCTTTATACCGGCTGTGTCCATTATGAGTGGCTCCCACCATCCCTGTGCTGAGTCCCCGGGTCTGTACACCTTTTGTGTGCATTATAAGGATTTCTTTTATTTTGCATTATGAAGAATGAAACAGGAGAAACTGGAACCGACAAAGGTGGGCAGAAGCACCCAAACCTCCCACCAGGAGGACAGAACCAGAGTCGAGGATTATGGAAGGAAGATCTCAATGTTGGTCTTCCTCCGGTATAAAAGAAGACACAGGTTGGCTCATTGAGCTCCACCTACAACCTAAGTATCACCTTAATAATACAAATAAATGGATGTTTTCTCTGGAGCTTCTGCCACCGAACAATTCACCATAACACGTATCACCGTGACATTTCCTACCACCTGCAGCAACATGTTCCTCATAGGTTGGACACGAGTCCCACAAAGACCAGTATGGACTCTCAACAGGTTCTCTTTAACGGACGTCGTCTTTTGTTTGGAGCTTCTTCCTTCTTTTTTATGGTTCTCAGCGTCTCACATCAGACTCATCACCTTTAATCCACAAGCCGCCATTGCTCGGGTTTCTTTGTCCCGGAATGCTGTGCTTATTAGCGGAGGGGTGTTTGCTTTGTTTTTATAACAGGCCGGTATGGGGGCTCAGTGGGGAACATCGGGTTGTGCAGATTCTACTTGTATTATTCATTCCTCTTCCTTCACTAATGAAAGCCCGCTGAGCTGCCGTGTGAGGCGTTTTGTCATTTACCAGAATCTCTTCTTAGTTTTTCAGGACCATAAAGAAAATAATAATAGACATCGCGATTCGAAGAGCGCGTTCATTTAATTGTCATTGTGGCAAAAACAGATTTGTGCTGTGTACAAGGTAAACACACGTCCTCAATGCACCCCAGCGAGAGATCGTGAAAACCAAAATTATGATTATTTTTAAAGCTGAAATCCAGATTTATTTGAATATATTCCTCAATAACCACAAAGTTCATAAATCCACTTTGTGAGCACCAAATGCCTTTGCAAAGTCAGATATTACCTTGTAACGGTAGCAGTGACATCATTACTGTGCAGTACGCAGCCTGTGCAGAGAGCGGAGCTGTGGGAGGGACTCAGCATCCCCACCCACTACAGGTTGCCTGCAGAAAACTATAGGAGGGGGCGGAGACAAGACCAGTCACCCTGCACAAGGAGAGAGAGCAGCAGCCACTGGTCTTTATTTTATGAGGGGATGGATGCATGAGGTGGGCTGTGCGGAGTGTCAGGTGGGCTGTGGGGAGTCTCGGGTGGGCTGTGCGGTGTCATAGGTGGGCTGTAGGGGTCTCAGGTGGGCTGTGCGGGTCTCAGGTGGGCTGTGGGGGTTTCAGGTTGGGCTGTGTGGAGTCTCAGGTGGGCTGTGAGGGTTTCAGGTGGGCTGTGCGGAGTCTCATATGGGCTTTAGAGTTCATTGCTCTGTACCAACTGTTCCCCTGCCCTCAGGAGGCCTGTGCAGAGTCTCAGGGAGGCTGTGGGGGTTTCAGGTGGGTTGTGGGAGTCTCAGGTGGACTGTGGGGGTCTCAGGTTGGGCTGTGCGGAGTCTCAGGTGGGCTGTGAGGGTTTTAGGTGGGCTGTGCGGAGTCTCAAGTGTGCTGTGTGGGGTCCCAGGTGGACTGTAAGGGTCTTAGGTGGGCTGTGCAAGATCTTAGGAGGGCTGTAAGGGTCATAGGTGGGCTGTGCAAGGTCTTAGGAGGGATTGCATTTCACAAAAAGCCAGCTCTTCTTAAAGATGGAAAAATATATATACTTTTTTTTTTTACACATACACAGGAGCAGGTGTCAGTGTGCAGGAGGACTCGGTAGATGTTTATCTCTGTGATTACCTGGTGACAGCTCAGCTCCCACTCCCTGGAGTCCATGTCCTCTCACTTCCCGGCTGCTCTGCGTGACATGGCTCCCGCTCGCCTCTGGCTCCGTTGTCCTAAGGTGCATCTTTTTGCCCCTAGCCCATATTTTCTTGCAGGGGAAGCAATTGTTTACCGTGACCCTTCTCCCCCCCACGGAATCTGCCACTGGTTGCTCACCCTGTCAGGTCTGGCAGTTGCCGGCGGCGCCCCTCCTAATGCCGCTCCTGCCCCAGGGCACATGCCCCCTCTACCACCCTAGTTTCTGCCGTGAGTACAGTTAATAGGGCTCTGCTGAAGCTGGGCTTGTTGCGGTGTACGCACCTTCAGACCTACACCTGGGGGCAAGTGCCCCCCCACTGCCCCCCTCGCTATGCCACTGGGTATCATATACCCCTTAAACCTCTCTCTCCAAGTCAACTGAGCCAATAAACAGTAAGAAAGAGGACTACAGGATCTGAAGTCTGTTGCCAGTTGTCGGTGAACTGGTGAATGAATTGTCGGTGAATGTTGTTTTTAGTGATACCTGCATGGATTTCACCCCATTGAAATCAATTATAGCCTTTTATGTACTGTGTTTCCCCGAAAGTAAGACCTAGCGCTATCTTCAGGGATTTCTGTAATATAAGACCTATCCCGAAAATAAGACCTAGCGCTATCAGGGATTTCTGTAATATAAGACCTATCCCGAAAATAAGACCTAGCGCTATCAGGGATTTCTGTAATATAAGACCTATCCCGAAAATAAGACCTAGCGCTATCAGGGATTTCTGTAATATAAGACCTATCCCGAAAATAAGACCTAGCGCTATCAGGGATTTCTGTAATATAAGACCTATCCCGAAAATAAGACCTAGCGCTATCAGGGATTTCTGTAATATAAGACCTATCCCGAAAATAAGACCTAGCGCTATCAGGGATTTCTGTAATATAAGACCTATCCCGAAAATAAGACCTAGCGCTATCAGGGATTTCTGTAATATAAGACCTATCCCGAAAATAAGACCTAGCGCTATCAGGGATTTCTGTAATATAAGACCTATCCCGAAAATAAGACCTAGCGCTATCAGGGATTTCTGTAATATAAGACCTATCCCGAAAATAAGACCTAGCGCTATCAGGGATTTCTGTAATATAAGACCTATCCCGAAAATAAGACCTAGCGCTATCAGGGATTTCTGTAATATAAGACCTATCCCGAAAATAAGACCTAGCGCTATCAGGGATTTCTGTAATATAAGACCTATCCCGAAAATAAGACCTAGCGCTATCAGGGATTTCTGTAATATAAGACCTATCCCGAAAATAAGACCTAGCGCTATCAGGGATTTCTGTAATATAAGACCTATCCCGAAAATAAGACCTAGCGCTATCAGGGATTTCTGTAATATAAGACCTATCCCGAAAATAAGACCTAGCGCTATCAGGGATTTCTGTAATATAAGACCTATCCCGAAAATAAGACCTAGCGCTATCAGGGATTTCTGTAATATAAGACCTATCCCGAAAATAAGACCTAGCGCTATCAGGGATTTCTGTAATATAAGACCTATCCCGAAAATAAGACCTAGCGCTATCAGGGATTTCTGTAATATAAGACCTATCCCGAAAATAAGACCTAGCGCTATCAGGGATTTCTGTAATATAAGACCTATCCCGAAAATAAGACCTAGCGCTATCAGGGATTTCTGTAATATAAGACCTATCCCGAAAATAAGACCTAGCGCTATCAGGGATTTCTGTAATATAAGACCTATCCCGAAAATAAGACCTAGTGTCTTTTTACGTGGAAAAAAAAAATATAAGACACTGTCTTATTTTCGGGGAAACACGGTATATGCTGTATATGGCTCCCATGTTGCCATAACCAAAATTTGTCTTAAGAACCAATCGGATGCATTAAACCGAAAAACACATCTGATTGTCCAGAAAAGTCACATGTCCGATTCAGTTTAGTTTTTGAATGAAATGTGAACAGGATCCGAAATTCTGAAATTCGGATTTGGACACATTCACATTCATTGGAATTTGGAAATTCAAACGTGTCCGAATGTCCGTATTTTGGGAAATTCGTCCGCATTTTGACGAAACGAATCACACATCTCTAGTGGAACTGGATCAGGGGCGTCCCAAGGCTGGGTGACACTCGGAGCGATAACTGAGCGGTAACCACGCGCGTCTGCGATGACGTCATCGCGCAAGCGCAGCAGTATTCTGATACCTGCCGGCGGCCATCTTGGTGATGGACGCCGGCAGAGAGAGGAGGGGACAGTCACCCGGCGGGATAAGGTATGCCGCCGGGTCCCCTCCTCTCTCCTGATACTGTCGGGCGTTCGGTCCATGACTGCGAGTCATTTTGGTGTCACCCCTCCAATGGTGTCACCCGGGTGCGGGCCGCGCCCCCCGCACCCCCCTTGTGACGCCACTGCCCTGGATGATGCCTGAACAAAGATGACGCCGTCCTTCTGGAGACAATATGCAGATGAAGGCATTGTCAGGGGGAGTACTGTGATCGCTGAGAGAGTTACAATGACACATTACTTAACATGAAACAATGTATCAGACACTAGAGCCACTTTAAATCACGTACTCCCTGAAATCACACTACAGTTTCTCTTTATTGAGTGATTCCAAGCATCCGGCGAGCACAGTGGCGAGTCCCAAGCAAACCACCAGCCGCACATAAAACCCTTCCTAGCGCAGAAGATAAGACTTTATGAGGGGAAATAATTTCCATCTCATGTTTCTACGCTGCATTTTACACATCACCGGTCCTCTCTTACCATGGAATTGATCACTGGCAGCAATCAATATTCTCTCCATCAAGCCGCCCGCGTCTCTGCTCTCCGGGGTTACCAGGGACTCGTCCCCGAGGGTCTGTATATGAAAATGTTCCATCTGCGTCAGTAGACAGACCCTTTGTCTCTATATCACAGGTGACAGCCACACATGAAGGGCAGCCATGTGAATCTTCCTCCGTGTGATCGGCTTGTTATTGGCGAGTGTCCTAATGGAATATTACATAGTATCTGAAGTTGAATAAAGACGCAGGTCCATCAAGGACCAGTATGTGTGTATAGTACGCTGATTCTCTCCCGCGGCTCTTCAAGCTCCCCCTTATGCCACCACCGGCCCTGGGAATGATCACAACTAGGTCTTATTATCGGGGTAGGTCTTATATTTGAGCAATTCCCAAAAATAGTACTAGGTCTTATTTTCGGAATAGGTCTTATTTTCGGGGAAACAGGGTATGTGGCCGGATATACGGCTTAAAGGCCAAGTCCACTTTTTACAACTAGTTTCAGTTTACATCCATAGGGTGTAACAGGAAGCATGATCATATACAGCGTCCCCAACCGACCCACCCCTTTACTTGAATCGCGGGGTGCTTCTATCTGCAAAATGTTATTGTTATTTGATTATGACTCCGCCCACGCAGACACATCATCCAGGTCCGGGATTGACCCTTGTAAATGACAAAGGGGTCTCTTTATAACAAAAATGCAGAGCCATTGTCCCTGTGAATGTTTTTGGATATTCCCTTTATATGTTGAATGTATTTTCGAAGGTGCTCTTGCAATAATGCATTATGGTCACTAGATGGCGCTTGTTACTATGCTGTATTCATGTCCTATGATCCTCAGCGCCATCTAGTGGACATAAGGAGGTAGCTTCCCGCAACATGGCACGAGTCGTGTTACATGGAGAGTGAAGTCCAGACACCGAGTCCAGACACCCGGTCCATACCTTATACACGGGGACAAGCAACATGGAGGGCCTCCGTTCCCCTGAAATTGTCAGATTTTGGTCAAATTTCACCAATCTGTCATACAGTCCATAGGGCAGGTTCTTTAAATCCAGCCTCCCCTTCAGTCTTCTATCTGACCTCCGTCCTTCCCTTCAGTCTTCTATCTGCCCTCCGTCCTTCCCTTCAGTCTTCTATCTGCCCTCCGTCCTTCCCTTCAGTCTTCTATCTGCCCTCCGTCCTTCCCTTCAGTCTTCTATCTGCCCTCCGTCCTTCCCTTCAGTCTTCTATCTGCCCTCCGTCCTTCCCTTCAGTCTTCTATCTGCCCTCCGTCCTTCCCTTCAGTCTTCTATCTGCCCTCCGTCCTTCCCTTCAGTCTTCTATCTGCCCTCCGTCCTTCCCTTCAGTCTTCTATCTGCCCTCCGTCCTTCCCTTCAGTCTTCTATCTGCCCTCCGTCCTTCCCTTCAGTCTTCTATCTGCCCTCCGTCCTTCCCTTCAGTCTTCTATCTGCCCTCCGTCCTTCCCTTCAGTCTTCTATCTGCCCTCCGTCCTTCCCTTCAGTCTTCTATCTGCCCTCCGTCCTTCCCTTCAGTCTTCTATCTGCCCTCCGTCCTTCCCTTCAGTCTTCTATCTGCCCTCCGTCCTTCCCTTCAGTCTTCTATCTGCCCTCCGTCCTTCCCTTCAGTCTTCTATCTGCCCTCCGTCCTTCCCTTCAGTCTTCTATCTGCCCTCCGTCCTTCCCTTCAGTCTTCTATCTGCCCTCCGTCCTTCCCTTCAGTCTTCTATCTGCCCTCCGTCCTTCCCTTCAGTCTTCTATCTGCCCTCCGTCCTTCCCTTCAGTCTTCTATCTGCCCTCCGTCCTTCCCTTCAGTCTTCTATCTGCCCTCCGTCCTTCCCTTCAGTCTTCTATCTGCCCTCCGTCCTTCCCTTCAGTCTTCTATCTGCCCTCCGTCCTTCCCTTCAGTCTTCTATCTGCCCTCCGTCCTTCCCTTCAGTCTTCTATCTGCCCTCCGTCCTTCCCTTCAGTCTTCTATCTGCCCTCCGTCCTTCCCTTCAGTCTTCTATCTGCCCTCCGTCCTTCCCTTCAGTCTTCTATCTGCCCTCCGTCCTTCCCTTCAGTCTTCTATCTGCCCTCCGTCCTTCCCTTCAGTCTTCTATCTGCCCTCCGTCCTTCCCTTCAGTCTTCTATCTGCCCTCCGTCCTTCCCTTCAGTCTTCTATCTGCCCTCCGTCCTTCCCTTCAGTCTTCTATCTGCCCTCCGTCCTTCCCTTCAGTCTTCTATCTGCCCTCCGTCCTTCCCTTCAGTCTTCTATCTGCCCTCCGTCCTTCCCTTCAGTCTTCTATCTGCCCTCCGTCCTTCCCTTCAGTCTTCTATCTGCCCTCCGTCCTTCCCTTCAGTCTTCTATCTGCCCTCCGTCCTTCCCTTCAGTCTTCTATCTGCCCTCCGTCCTTCCCTTCAGTCTTCTATCTGCCCTCCGTCCTTCCCTTCAGTCTTCTATCTGCCCTCCGTCCTTCCCTTCAGTCTTCTATCTGCCCTCCGTCCTTCCCTTCAGTCTTCTATCTGCCCTCCGTCCTTCCCTTCAGTCTTCTATCTGCCCTCCGTCCTTCCCTTCAGTCTTCTATCTGCCCTCCGTCCTTCCCTTCAGTCTTCTATCTGCCCTCCGTCCTTCCCTTCAGTCTTCTATCTGCCCTCCGTCCTTCCCTTCAGTCTTCTATCTGCCCTCCGTCCTTCCCTTCAGTCTTCTATCTGCCCTCCGTCCTTCCCTTCAGTCTTCTATCTGCCCTCCGTCCTTCCCTTCAGTCTTCTATCTGCCCTCCGTCCTTCCCTTCAGTCTTCTATCTGCCCTCCGTCCTTCCCTTCAGTCTTCTATCTGCCCTCCGTCCTTCCCTTCAGTCTTCTATCTGCCCTCCGTCCTTCCCTTCAGTCTTCTATCTGCCCTCCGTCCTTCCCTTCAGTCTTCTATCTGCCCTCCGTCCTTCCCTTCAGTCTTCTATCTGCCCTCCGTCCTTCCCTTCAGTCTTCTATCTGCCCTCCGTCCTTCCCTTCAGTCTTCTATCTGCCCTCCGTCCTTCCCTTCAGTCTTCTATCTGCCCTCCGTCCTTCCCTTCAGTCTTCTATCTGCCCTCCGTCCTTCCCTTCAGTCTTCTATCTGCCCTCCGTCCTTCCCTTCAGTCTTCTATCTGCCCTCCGTCCTTCCCTTCAGTCTTCTATCTGCCCTCCGTCCTTCCCTTCAGTCTTCTATCTGCCCTCCGTCCTTCCCTTCAGTCTTCTATCTGCCCTCCGTCCTTCCCTTCAGTCTTCTATCTGCCCTCCGTCCTTCCCTTCAGTCTTCTATCTGCCCTCCGTCCTTCCCTTCAGTCTTCTATCTGCCCTCCGTCCTTCCCTTCAGTCTTCTATCTGCCCTCCGTCCTTCCCTTCAGTCTTCTATCTGCCCTCCGTCCTTCCCTTCAGTCTTCTATCTGCCCTCCGTCCTTCCCTTCAGTCTTCTATCTGCCCTCCGTCCTTCCCTTCAGTCTTCTATCTGCCCTCCGTCCTTCCCTTCAGTCTTCTATCTGCCCTCCGTCCTTCCCTTCAGTCTTCTATCTGCCCTCCGTCCTTCCCTTCAGTCTTCTATCTGCCCTCCGTCCTTCCCTTCAGTCTTCTATCTGCCCTCCGTCCTTCCCTTCAGTCTTCTATCTGCCCTCCGTCCTTCCCTTCAGTCTTCTATCTGCCCTCCGTCCTTCCCTTCAGTCTTCTATCTGCCCTCCGTCCTTCCCTTCAGTCTTCTATCTGCCCTCCGTCCTTCCCTTCAGTCTTCTATCTGCCCTCCGTCCTTCCCTTCAGTCTTCTATCTGCCCTCCGTCCTTCCCTTCAGTCTTCTATCTGCCCTCCGTCCTTCCCTTCAGTCTTCTATCTGAGCTCCGCCCTTCCCTTCAGTCTTATATACGGTGAGGTCACCTTCCTACTGGCGAGATCCCAGGAATACAGAGCAGAGCCATTTGCCCTGCAATGCATAAACAATTGTTCTTAGTACCTTTTCTTTTCAGCTCCAATGTAATGTAATGCAGCATTATGGCCACTAGATGGAGCAGAGGAAATAAATACTTACCGTAATTTCTATGCTCCTCAGCTCTATCTAGTGGCCATAATGCTGCATTACATGACATTCGTCCTGAAAACAATATATAATAAAATATAAAAAATATATCTAAGAATGTTTCTTTTTGCATCTATTCGCACAGAATGAATGTTCAGAAGGATTTGTGAGCCGAATGGCTCTTCAATTGGTTATTATAAGACGCCCCAAGTGATTTTTAAAGGGAGCGGGGGCCCAAGCTATTTGAGCTGCATTTTACTGCAAGGGCCCATTTAGATCTATGCGTGTGCATGGAGGTGCGTTTGTTAGTAGCATTGGGTAGGGGCATTTATGTTTCCTTTTTGCATTGACATGCATTAACACGCATTTGAAGTGCGTTTTTGAATGTAGGATTTAGCGAGGATAGCGTTAGGAGCCATTGACCAAGGCTTGTTAACACCTGTCGCCAACAGGTCAGATGCATCACCATTGGGCCTCCTGATGCACAAAAAATTGGACATGTCGCATATTTAAAAACACGGACAGTACCGAAGCCAGAGGATCACAAACTCAGCGTTTTATATGCTATATATTTTACTTTTTTGCTTATATTAGAGCAGTGTTAGGCATCCTGGCCATGCCAACTGTTGGGAACTACAAGTCCCATGAGGCATTGCAACACTCTCACAGTCACAGAGATGACTCCCACAGACATATGCATCATGGTATTCGTAGTTTACCCCTGTATTAGAGGGTGTAATGATCTCTTTGTCACTTATACATTGGTCAAACGCTGGGCAAATAGTTATATATATCCTACATGACAACCAAGCAGGCATCATATTCAGAGGAAGCTCAGCCACAGCATTTGTTTTAAGGTGTTTCAAGGTAAACACTGCAACAGAAGCTCACTGACTGCACTCCCCACCTTTAAATATACCGCCAACAAAGCTGGCAGCCCCTTCCCGTTGTAAACAGGTCATGAGGCTTCTGTAGCGAGCAGGCCATCCCCTCTAACACTGACATCCTTTCGGCTGCTCTACAAAGAAACGAAATAGTGATAAACTCAGTCCTATTCATTCTGCCAGCACTTAAGATGGCGGCGACGGGAACTGCACGGAGGCGATGACGTCACTGACGCCGGTCGCTGGGTGATGGCGCGCCTTGTTGGCAAGCGGATAGGACTGCCTTGAGCTGTCATGGATCCAGGCGGGTAAATATAAAGCTGGGTAACTAATTACTAGTTATGAGGGCTGCTTAGTCGCCAGTGCAGCTGCCCAGTAATCTGCATACAGTGTACGGCTCACATTAATGGCCATTATAAGGCTGGGAGCCTCCACCCTGGGAAGGTTGTGGGCAGCAGAAGGGGAGTTTGTGTCACTGCATGGGGGCAGGTTCTCTTTAAAGGATGACTGCTGCTTTGCTCCTCTTAAAAAGGATCTCCATTTCATGTCCTGCCCAGGCTTGTGAAGTCCCTGCGGTGTCCAGCACAAGATATCCAGGATTGTCTTGTGGGAACTGTAGAAACAATGTAACACCGTTGCCATGGCGACAGTCAGTTATTAGCTGGAGAAGGATGGAGACTGATCCCTCCCCCTTTCCTTCCCTTGAACATTTCCAATAGGGCACTGAGGATACTTTGCGAGCCTGTGCAGATTAAAGGCATAGGTAATAAACCAACGTTTACATGTATCCTCTTCTGTTCTTTGCATGGGGCCCGCGTACATTCTAGAACACATTGCAATGTAAAGGGCAGGTGAGTATGTACTGCTGGGGGCATCAACATGTCCCTGTATATGAAGGCATACCTGATAAATGAAGCGTTAATATAATTACCTCTCCGGGAGCCGGTGTGTGCTGAAACGCTGATCCCGAGATACAGCAGGTATACAATCGGTCAGGTGGGTTGAATTCATGTCCTGTCCCCCCTGCTGTGCTCTATAGTTCCACCCACCAGCTGTATGTCCTGTAGTGATGTACAAGTCGAGGGAGAAACCACGGCGAGTGGCGGGGGGAGGGAGGGGGGAGCAGGTGGTCATCATACATGGAAGTGTGCAACACTTGCAGCAGCTGATTTTCAGCTAGGGCAAAGGTCCGTATATTCATTCTTCTTTCAGCAGGTTTGTCTTCATATACAAGTCTCCCTGGCCTGACAGAGCAACTCTTGAAGAGCTTCACCAGCTGAAGAATCTTCATTACTTGACTCTTCCAGGTGTGTCAGAAGCCAGCGTCCCCTGCTACATGCTGTGGTCCCACCCAATGGCCACTCTGTCACTGTAGATAAGGGGTAGTCAAACTCCGGCCCTCCAGCTGTGGTGCAACTACAAATCCCGTTAGGCAATGCAAGTCTGACAGCCACAGACATGACTTCCAGAGACAGATGCATGAAGGGGTTTGTAGTTTCACCACAGCTGGAGGGCCGGAGTTGGACTTCCTCTGCTGTAGATGATTACACACTGGTGACATGGAGTCCATGGAACCACAGCACATAGGAAGGGGGGGGGGGATCTTAGAGATCCTAACTGAAAACTGTCTGATTCTGACACCAGAGTAAGCAGGCCAGGTAGACAAGCCTGATGCCTATGGGACAAGCCATGAAGTCTATGGGACTCTAATATCTAGGTGCAGCCAGCATAGAGAGAACTTCGATTTGGGATATAAACAAACACGGAAAACCCAGGGCACCAGATCTCTGTAAGTATAAATGTTGGGAGGGGGGGATCTGTTAGGTCAGGGGTACAGGCAAGGGGAGGGCAAAAAAATAAGTGTCCTTTCTTTGTCTTCTTTTACAAGCATAGCTTTCCTTTAAAACTTTATACAAAGAGAAAGTGTAAAATTCAGTGTTAAATAAAGAAGAACTCTCACCGGTAGTTAAAAAAAGCTTGTTAAATCCCCACCCCCGGGGACCCAGTGCACATATCCCCAATCTTTGGTTCTGATGAAGAAGGCGTGCTTCCGATGACCGGAATGGTGAACGGGCAGTGTGTGCGCACACCGGCCCGTTCGGCATTTGTCTACAGAGCATCATTCAAACCAGCCGAAAATCGTACGATTTTCGGCTGGTTTTCTAGGGTGCTCCTTAGACAAAAGACGCGCGACCGTACAGTAGAAACGGTTGCACGTCTTTATTCACACTGCACGATTCTTCTACGATCGTGGGATTTCCCGCGATTCTCGTACGAGAATCGTGCAGTGTATGGGCACCTTAAGTCTGCTTTATGTGATCTGTTCATGCCTAGTTTTCAGCTCCTTTTGTGAGTACAAATCTAACTGTTTTTTTATCCTTGTTCATTAAAACGATTTTACACGATGGAGGCACTCTCTCTGTGTTCTATAGTTTAGCTATGCGGTTTCCCTAACCAGCGCGAGCAGCCCCGAAAGTGTTATACACTGAAGATTTTTCTCTCCCCTTATCACTGACTCGTGTTGCTGGCGCTTTTGTGCTTATTTGTTTGCCCATTTATACCTGTGCAGGGGTTGCTGATCAGCTTGCCCACCCTCCTCCCACCACTATCCGACCACATGGAATGAAGGAGCTGGTGCGTGACAGGAAGCATACACAGACCCTGCATAGCACTGCCACCCCCC